AGATTTATTCATGATGCTAAGAACAATAATGCAATGCAAGTTACTCTTTAGTCTAGACTTCAAAACCAGATTAATTCATTCCCATGACAATAAACTCTTTGTAAATCACTTAATCAAGATTAATTCACCTTAAGCAAGATCAAGCAATCAACAAGCATAAAGTATCAAGTCTAATAATGACCAAACGGTTTCTATTTCAAGGAGACCGAATCTTACACAGAAAGCAGCAACAAGCAATCACATGATCTCAAAACCAATTAACTTAGAACTCAAATCTAGACTAATCCTCTCATGAAGGCATTAATCTCTACACTAATCCACTTTCAAACCAAATCATCATTTGTGAAATATGAATCAGTGAGCATTAAGAAACAGTTCTAATATGTCATTCATGCATTTAACAAATCATTCCCATGATGAAAAAGTCATAAACCCTTAGCTTAGCTCATTCAGACATTTCATCAAACACCTTGTGGGTGGAGAAATGACTAAGGTCTAGATCAGAGTGATGTGCAAAGATCTAGCATTAAGAGCAGCTAACTAAGGAAAGGAGATGAGAATCTAGAACCTAAACATCATAAACCGATCATCTAAGCACCCTAATCTACACACCTAGAAGCTTAAACGATAACTACTCACTAATCATGATTAACACACCATTTCCTTTGCAAGAGGTGGTGTTAATCATGATTAGAAGCAGAGATGAGATGATTAGATGATAAGAAACAGCTTTAAGATGATTAAATCTGCTAGATATCTCTTGATCAAACTCGTTTTTACACTAAGAAGCAGAGAGAAAACAAAAAGAGGCAGATTCGAGGATAAGATAAAGCATAACTAGGGTTTTAGTCTCTAAAAACTATTTATATAAAAGGGTGTGGGCCGGGTCAGCCCAGGACAAACTGGGTACTGACCCGCCCTTTCTGGGTTGCTGGAGCCACCCCTCGCCATCTGAAGAAGTCTCACACCGAGGGCCATACACCAGGGGGTCATGTGCTGGGTTGAAACTTTGATGAACACTTGAAGAACATGCATGAGACTTGGCATTTGATCCGGTTAAAGCTTTGAAACGTGAAGAGGATTTGTTTGTGATCTGGGTTGGAGAGATGAGGACCTCGGCATACATGCCGAGGTGCCTGGTACCCGAGGTTTGTGTAACATAGGAGCTCGGCATAGCATGCTGAAGGGTTCACACCAAGGTCTGCTTCAACACTTAGTCGTTTGGGGATCATTTTGGTGATCAAGGGAGCCTCGGTGTTGAAAGGCCGAAGTCCTACCTCGAGGTATAGTCCCAAGGCTTCGTAAACATGCCTCCTCGGCATACATGCCGAGGTATTCACGCCGAGGTAGGACACAGCACTTAGCTTACAGTTGCATCTCTTAAAACCCGAATTGAGCAGCTTCGCTTCTGTTCAGTGTAACTTTCAGCTCGTAACTCCAAATGACCTGAAACCAGTTCCATGAGAAAGATAACTCATTCAGCTCGATCTTTGGTGAAGAAACTATCGGCGCTTGGGAAGTGGAAGGCTTCCTGGAGGGCTCATCTTCGCAATGCGTTTACACGATCAGAGAAAGGCGTCTAGACATGTGTCCATTCCGGAGACGTTAAATTCTTGCTCATACATTTGAATTGGATGATCTTGGACGTTCTGGAAAGAGGACTCAAACATCTCTGATTCTTATGAAGACCCCGGAAACTGAATCTGCCTGGAAGTGCGCCGTCCTTCGCATTCTTCGGAGCTCATCGGGTCGGTCCAAGACGGCAGCGAGACAGGGGTTTCTTCCGACGAGCTCAACTTTCTGCTCACGCGTCCGAATTCCATTATTCTACTTGCTATGGAACCATGATCCAATCGTCTCCAACTTTGATGAAGCCCCCGACAGCTGAATCGGACCGGAAGGTTCCCCGGACAGGCCATCATTCAGGAGTATCGGATTGCTCCGGAATGGATGCGAGAGAGGTCTGTCTTCCGATTACCATATCTTTCAGATCCGTGGGCCAAATGCTTTGATTCCAACTGTTCTGAACTCTTGACTCAGTTGTCTCCAACCTTTATGAAGACTCCGACAGCTGAATCGGCTGGCAAGATCTTCCGGTGACGCGATTTCGGAAATATATCTGCACCCGGGATTTTTGGCCGAGAGACTTGACCGCGGTACGTGTTTTTGGCCGAGAAAGCTACCCGCGGGAAGGATTTTGGCCGAGGATCTTCGACTTTCAGTACAGCATTTTGCCGAGAAACCCAAAATTGCTCCTTTTTACCATTTTTGATCATTCCAACTCCATTTCTTCATCTGAATCACATCCTCCACTCCAAATTGGCTCCAAAAGCACCTGTTTAACACTCCAAAACATGCAAAACTCTCTTGGACCTAATGTAATCTCCTAAGTCCTAAAACAATGCTTAAAGACCTAAAATGCATGAGATAAGACATGATTTGGACTAAAATATGTACACCTAATGATGCAATTTATGAATATATCAATGGCATAATTCCAATTTCAGTGGAAATAGCACTCAAATATCTCAAAATTTGGTGAAGAAACCTTCGGCGCGTGGGGATTGGAAGGTTCCCCGGACGGCTCATCTCTGAAGTGCATTGAAAGGATCAAAAAGGAGCTCTTGGACCAGTGTTTACTCCTTAGCCACTATCTTTCAGAAAATAGCTCCAAACGGGATGATCTCAGATGTTCTGGAAAGAGAACTCAAAGAAATTAAATCTTGATGAAGGCCTCGGAAACTCAATCTGACTGGAAAGGCATCGTCCCACTCAATCTTTGTGACTCATCGGATTGGTCTAGCAACTGCAGCGAGACAAGTGTGTCTTCCGGTGAGCTTAACTCTCAGCTCACGACTCCAAATCCAATTATTTTACCTGTTATGGATCCGAGACCTGATCATCTAAACTTTGCCGAAGACCCTGTAAGCTGAATCGGACGTTAAAACTCCCCGGACAGGCAATCTTTCAGACGTATCGGATTGCTCTGGAATGGATGCGAAACATGTCTATCTTCCGGTGGCCGTATCGTTCCGATCGCTGCTCCAAATTGATCGATTCCAACTGTTCTGAAATCTAGAATCAATTATCTTGATATTTTCTGAAGACCTCGGAGGCTGAATAGGCCGGCAAAACCTTCCGGTAACGTGATTTCTGAGATGTATCTGCACCCAAGATTTTTGGCCGAGAACCTTGAACAGCCAGTACGTGTTTTGGCCGAGAGATCAACCCGCGGTACATGACAATAGCTTAGAAAAGCTTCCTGCGGTACAGGCTATCACCTAGAATCTCCAAAAGGCTGTTTTCACCATTGTTAAAGCTCCATTCACCATTTCTTCTCCTGGCTTCATCTTTTCCGGTCCAAACTGGTTCCAAATAACCTGTAAACACTCCAAAATATGCAAGACTCATTTGGACCTAATGCAAACCCTAAGTCCTAAAACAACACCTAAAAACCTAAAATGCATGAAATAAGACATGATTTGGAATGAAATATACAACCTAAATGATGCAAATTATAAACATATCAACTCCCCCACACTTGTCCTTTGCTTGTCTTCAAGCAAAAAGAACAAATGAGAGAAAGAGGTTAGATGCATTGGGAGTTCATATTTCCTTTGAAAGAGAGAAGTGACCACTAAGAGAATTCAAGTTCATGCTCAATATACAATGTGTGTGAGCCAAAACTCGCACAACCAAAAATTTGTAAAGGAAAAACTAAGGGATCCGAAACTTCTAGGGTAATCGCAAAAACAGTAAGATCAAAAGAGGATTTTTTTTGCTGTGAAAGTGTTTAGGTCTTATTGCTTAGGGTTGCAAAAGTTACATAATGAATCGTAGAAATCTTCTATTTATACTAACTTCTTAAACAGCCTCTCCCGAGAATCTCGGGAGAGATTTTAGGTATATTTCCTTATCGCTTCGTGCGGCCACCGTCATAATACTTCGCCTAGGGCTTCTGTGGGCTTTCGTCTTCTAAATCCTTGGTTCGCCCCATCTTGGAAAACCGGCTCGGCCCAACGCACAGGGAAGCGATTCGGCCCATGCCTCCTATCGCGCTGCTAGGCCCGCTCACCGTTCTTCTCACAGCTCGGCCCATCTAACCTTCTCCACGGCTCGGCCCACTTGTCATTCGAGTTGAGACGCGACTTGGCCTAACTCGCCGAGGCGCGGCTCGGCCCAATCATGTTGAAGTGCGGCTCGGCCCGTACCTCACGACACAGCTCGGCCCGTCTGCTCTCATACGCGGCTTACCCATTTTCACCTCACGGCTCGGCCCACTTGAGCTTGACCTTCTTCTACGCGGCTCGGCCCATTTTTGACAGGTCACCGGTTCTCCTTGTCGGATCGGCTCTCCAATGTTCTTGAGATGGTTTAAACCAATTGGGGTGAAACCGACCCCAACAGTTAGCCCCCCAGCTCGTCAGTTTCGGAGGCGAGAGTGACGAGGTTCATAGGATAGACCATCGAGTCGAGCCATTACGACACAATCCCAAGCGAGGCGTTTTGAAAATAAAGATGCCGAGCCTCCCTTCGACAGTGTGTAGTAGCGAGCCGTTTTGGCGAGGTTATGTGAGGGAAAATGCCGAGCCGCCTCGTTAGTGACGAAACGCTTTTTCGAAAAAGTGCCGAGTACCTAGACAGAGCGGCTGTTAGCTCTTTCCAAGGCATCTTGAACGTTAGCGTGTGTGACGGACGTGCCAAAAGATTATGCATTCGCCGCGGATTTCACGCACCCCCATCGAACACCTTCGCTCCATCACGAGGCCCACGCGGACTTCACGCGCTTCGGTTTTCCTATAAATAGGTGAGCTCCTTCGTTCTTCCTCATTATCTTCAGACTCACTCGTTTTCACTAAAAAGTAGCTCTCCCTTCTCTCTTCTTTCTCTCTCTAGTTTATTTAATTTCCGGCTAGGGTTCCGAGGTCTCCGCCGTTCCAGATCTTTTTCCGACGAAAGCTCGCCGCGTAACACTGTAATCCCTGTATAAGTTGTAAATTATGTCGAGCCGCTCCGACGATTCGCTGGATTCACTTTTTAACTACGAACCGAGCCGTGTAGACGCGGAGGCGAGAGGTGTAACAGAATCTTCCGAGGCGTCTATCTCGCCGAGCCCTTCCAACCGTTCACCTGAGAGTGACGAGGCGTCGAATCATACAAATCCGCCAGACGCTAGCTCTCCAGATGACGAGCCGTTGGTTTCGACGAGCCGGCCTCAGGGTCCCGCTCTAGACGAAGATGTTAATCGTGCCACCGTAAAACCCGAGGAGGAAGCGTTTCCCTGTGATCTGTTCGAGGCGAAACGTGAATTGGAACATCTCATGGCGTCCTGAGATGCTTCTTCATCTAGGCGAGGGAAAAGAGTGAAGAGACAAAAACCCAATCCGCCCGGTTCTACGCTCTCCTCCCCTGACTCACTCGAGGCGTTGAGATGTCGCTTCGGGATATCTGAGGCGGTAGAATTCGTGCTTCCAGAGAAGAATGACCGAGCCGATAAACCTCCTGAGAATCACTTTACGCTGTATGAGGCGTTCTTTGAGCTCTGTTTTCTCTGGTTCCCGATCCCCGGAGTTATCCTTGACTACCTCTGGAAACATGGGATCTCAATCGGGCAGATCATGCCGAGGGGTCTGCGGCACATGATCGGTATTCTGGTTCGAAGTTTTGAATGCGGGCTCGACATCGAACTGAATCACCTGCTGAACTTGTTGGAGATCAGAAAAGCTCCGAAAGGAGACAGATTTTACATCTCCAACAAATCCAACCGCCGGATCATAGGTGGTTTTCCAAGCAAGGATCAGTTTTGGACTGAGCGCTTCTTCTATGTCTTGGTGAACGAGGCGTCTGTCGGTGAGGATTACGTTCAAAAAACCAAGACTGCTTGGGGACCACTGAGTAGCCGATCCGAAGCTTTGCTTCGGCTCGGAACTGTTTTCGTATAATCTTCCCTTACTGAATCTTCTTTATGTTTTTTTTTTTGCAGTTCGAAACATTCTTCCCCCGATTCCCGACGACCTCTTTATTGTTCGAGACTCCCTTTCGGCTCGGAAGATTAATTCGATGAAAAATTTCACACTTGAGAGAGTAGAGAAAGCGCGAGCTATTCTTGCCGGAGTCCCTGTCAGCTGTTCGTCTTCCAGCTCCTCAAGAGATACCAGAGAGAAAATGGTGATCATTACTCTTAGAGATAAGAAGAGACGTGAAGAGGAAGAAGCCGCGAGACGAGCCGCCGAGGCGGCTCAAACAGAGACCGAGGTTATTCCTCAGACCGATCCACCGAGCCGTGAAGGTGACGACACGGTCCGAGCCGCGGAAGCAAACATTGCCGAGGCGACCAAGAAAGAAGTAGCGCCCGAGGTGGAACCGGGCGAGATTATTCTCGAGGCGTCCAAAGATGACTCAGCGGTGCGGAGTAAAACTCCTTCAAACTCCGCTATTCTGGCTCTTCCGAAGTCATCGAGGCCCCCGACCTCGGTTGAACAGAAGCACGACCCTAGCCGGAAATGTTCGGCTGCTGACAAGGGGAAGGGAGTTGCTATCCAAAATGACAAGCCATCCAAGAAGAAGCGCAAGTCGACCCCCGGTGATCTCGCTGCACGCAAACTGGTCGTTGGGACGCCTCGGCGGTAATGTTCGCGCGTGTTAATAATGCGAACACGCGTCTTCCTCCTCCAGAAAAGCTGAGGACACCAAGGTCGTACGGCGCGATGGCACCGTGCGGTACCAAGGTATATTTTATTTGCTTTTCTTTATTTTCACGAATTCTCACTAAGTGTTTAACGCGCATTATTCCTTTGCAGTTTGAAGCGGCCATCAACGAGCTGATGGCTGAATACGAGGCGGACCTGTCTAAGGTTGAACGTCGCTTGGACGAGGCTCGGAACGAGACCGCGGCAGTAAAGGGGAAGCTGGACGAGGCGATGACTAGGGTGTCCAGGCTAGAAGAGGAGAAGATAGATCTCCGCGCCAACATTGACAAGGTCTCTGCCTCGGCCATTCGCCTCGAGGAGGCAAGGAGAGCCAAAAGCGCCGAGGTGGCGTTGCTCAAAAGGCGTATCGAGGCCAAGGATGCCCTGTTTGATGCCAAGGTCAAGCGCGCGAAAACAGAGGCGAGGCGAGAGCTGACTGCTAAGTTTCAGGAACGCCTCGCCAAGGTAGAGGAGGGTTTGGCCAAGCTCGAGAAGGCCAAAACCGATGAGAACGAGCTGGGGCAAATCAAGGGCAACCTTGCGATGATAGCCGACCTAAAAAAACCGGACGCCCCAACGCTCGATGATGAGGAGGCGAAGCTAAAGAGATGGGAGAGCGAGTACGCCGACGACGAGGCGTATGAGTGTATTGCCTCCAAGATTCGAGGCGAGCTGGTTTTCTCGCCCGTATCTCCGGACTCGGTAGACACCAGCCTTGGCAACGAGCTGCTCGAAGAGACAGCGGCCAACCTGGGTGTCGTAGATCCGACCGGATCGAATGCAGGGACGCCGGCCCTCTCGAACCTCCTTGCCGAGCGTGAAACGCAGTCCGCAGCCTGATCCTCTCCACTCTCCCCTATCTTTCGTCTCATATGCTTTTGTACTTAGGACTTTAGGTGATTTTATCTGCTTCTCGAACTTTTGTGTAACCGGTGCCTGGATGGCTTTATCCACCTGACAGTTATTTTTGCATTTGGTTATATTATCTTTTCCTTAACCGTTTTCGGATTTGATTCGTTTGACGATCCGTGGAAATGTTTACGAAAACTGTTTGTTGGGAAAGAGTTGTCATTGATTGGATTATCGAGCTGTCGAGAATGATCTCGATTGCTTCCCTAGCCGAATTCTTTGAAATCGATAGAAATACAGGCTAAGGGGTGAGTTGTTAAGGATCCCGTTTGAGTTCTAAATCCCGAGCTGGGAGTTGGTTTGTGGAGCGTCTTTTGTTTTAGGTGACGCTAGAAGTGTTAAGCGATAAAATCAAGGCAACTTTTGTTGGCAATGCCGAGCCATGTTTAACGACTACAAGTTTTTCTTTGTGTGATGCCGAGCCGTGTAAACGACGAGGCGTTTTGTTTTTATTAATCAAAAATGATTTGGGGTTTATCCATTCTGTCACTGAGAGAGGTCCGCATTGAGGTGAGCTGTTATAAGATTGTTTTGAGAAAGAAGCCGAAGTATTTATCAGGTAAGTTATGTGTTTTCTCATTGACGAGGCGAAAGTTCAAGAGGATATAGTAGTTTCGTTGAATATGATCATAGACCGGCGTTTCCGAGAGGATGAGTGTGTTTTGCCGGGTTTTAAGAGTTCACTTCGGTTTTAGAGAAAGCGATGTAGTCTCGACTTATAATCTCATGTGCGATAGTAAACTGTGGCGACCGATACGTTTTTGGTCTGATATTTGTATAGCGCGCTTTAATTTTATCCATAGAGGATGTAACTTGCACCCTCGTCCTAGGAAAGGTGGTAAAAGTCCATTTAGAGAACTTTGTATCCGTTGTTCCGTTGTGGCCAGCAACGAGACGAGGCGTCTGGAGACTTAATTTGCCGAACTGAAAGTGAAGGCACGTAAAAGGTCCGAGACGATCAAGTCATGATAACATGTCGAAGTGATATGATCACTCGCCGAAGTGATGGGTGAACGAATTAAAAAATCCGAGGCGAATTATGAAATAAGCTGCTGATTTAAAAGAATGAGAAACTAGCCGAAGCGATAATGAACAAACTAGAATTCCGAGGTGAACATGAAATAAGTAGATAACTTAAAACAAACTGAAAATGTGCCGAAGTGGCAATGTTCCTAGGTAGGTGAGCTAAAATTATAGAGTTAAATGAAGGTATGTGTATACGTACCCACTCCCCCCCCCCTTTTTAGGAGGGGGGACAGCTGAACCCGTCTGAGGACGGGCTGCCTACGTACCCTTTCCAGGTATCAAGCCGTCCCGTAGTTCATGTTGACCATGCTGTAGCTTTACTGATAATACTTCTTTAGATGCATTGCGTTCCATGATCTTGAAATCGCTTCGTCAGCTAGCGTTGCGAGTTCGTAGACTCTTGGGCGAACTACTTTTGTAATCTTGTAAGGACCTTCCCAGTTTGCTCCGAGCTTTCCTGCATTCTTCTCGGCAGTGTTTTGGAAAACCTTTCGAAGGATGAGCTCTCCTTCTTTGAATGTTCGACTACGAACGTTTTTGTTGTAGTATCTCGCCGTTGCTTGTTGATAGTTCTGGATTCGGACTAAAGCCTGGTCGCGCCTTTTGTTGATTAGATCGAGCTCATCTAGCATCATTAAGTGGTTTAAGCCCTCATGTCCTGGTAGAAATCTTCGTCGAATACCTGGAAAGTCCACCTCGGGAGGAATTACGCATTCCGCTCCGTAGACCAAAGTGAATGGAGTTTCTCCGGTGGCTTGGCGCGGGGTCGTTCGATGCGACCAAAGGACTCCTTTGAGTTCGTCTGCCCATCGTCCTTTCTTGACGTCGAGCCTCTTTTTCAGACCGTCTAGGATTGTCTTGTTGGCTGCTTCAGCTTGTCTGTTCCCTTGAGGGTATCTTGGCGTAGATTTGCTTAGATGGATTTTCCACTTCTCGCAGAAGGCTTCAAAACGCGTCGAGATGAACTGGGATCCGTTGTCGGTGACTATTTCGTAGGGGACCCTGTGTCTGCAGATGATATTTTTCCAGACGAAGTGTTCGACTTGAACATCCTTGATGCTTGCGTAGGAATCGGCCTCGACCCACTTGGAAAAATAATCCGTGAAGACGAGCAGAAAGCGCTTCTGCTTCGATCGATGTAGAGGTCCGACGATGTCCATCGACCATCTCATGAACGGGTTAGTTGACGAAATTGATGAGAGCAGCTCCGTATCAAGGATGATGAATTGTTGGAGCGTGCCGTTGACACTTCTCGCACTTCGCCGTAAATTTTCTGCAGTCCTTGACCATCGTAGGCCAGAAGTAACCGTGCCGTTTTATCTTGATAGCGAGTGACCTTCCGCTAGAATGGTTTCCGCACGCGCCGCTGTGCACTTAGTGCATGATCTTTCTTGCCTCCGGTCCTTCGACACATGTCATGAGAGGTCCTGAAAATCTCCATTTAAACACCTCGCCGTCGACGAGGACATACCGCGCAGCCTGAGCTTTTAATTTGCGGGCTTCCCACTCGTCGGTTGGCACTTAGCCATCGGCGATATATACTCGGATAGCTCCGAGCCATTCTTTGTCGCAGCCGTACTCCAGCTCGGCTGGTAGGGCGTCTTCGTCCATAGGAATGGCTTTGTCGTCTTCTGGTTCTTGTTGAGGATGATTTATCAGCCAAACTCCTTCTACCTCTTCGATGCTAGACTGGAATTGTCCGTCGGAGGTCTGGGTCTGAGGTCAAAGCCAGTGCTGCCAAGGCGTCGGCCGAGGTGTTTTCTCCTCGGGGAATTCGTATGAGCTCGAACTCGTTGAACTTCTGCACCAACTCTCGGACCACCTTGAGGTAGGCTCCCTTTCGTTTATCATTCGCCTCGTACTCTCCGTTGAACTGGCATGCTACGAGCTGTGAATCGCAAAAGGTTCTTATCTTTCGAACTCCGATTCCCTGCGCTAGTCGTATACCGGCGATCAGAGCTTCGTATTCTGCTTTGTTGTTCGAGGCGTGGAAGTTTAGGCGAAACGACTGCTCCAGTATCTCTCCTGTGGGAGAGGTGAGGCAGATTCCTATTCCTGAGCCGTGTTTAGATGACGAGCCGTCGACGTGCAGCGTCCACACTTCGTCTGGAGTCGGCTTGTTTGTTGCTTCGGTTAGAAGTTTGATGAGAAAATCCGCGAGCACTTGTGACTTTGCAGATGACCTGTTCCGATACTCGATGTCGTATTCGCTCAGCTCTATGGCCCACTTGGCGAGCCGATCGGATTGGCTCAGGCTGTGTAGGATCAAGCGCAGCGGAAGTGTAGCGAGCACAACAATCGAATGTGATTGAAAATACGGGCGCAGTTTGCGAGCCGAGACTACGACAGCTAGGGCGACCTTCTCGATCTGGGGGTAGCGGGTCTCGGCGTCGGTCAGTATCTGACTGATGTAGAAAATGGGTTTTTTGCTCGGATCGTTCTTCTCTGATAAGCACTCCACTCACAGCTGTAGCAGATACGGCGATGTAGAGGAAGAGCGGCTCTCCTTCGACTGGTTTTGCTAAGATCGGTGGGCTCGCCAGATAATTTTTCAACTCTTGAAAAGCTGCTTCGCATCGCTCGTCCCACTCGAATTTCTTGTTTCCCCGAAGGGTGTCGTAGAAAGGCAGGCACTTGTCGGTGGAACGGGAAATAAATCTGTTTAGCGCGGCGACCCTTCCTGTGAGCCTTTGCACTTCGCGCTTCGTCCTTGGAGAGGGTATTTCGATTAATGCCTTGATCTGCTTGGGGTTTGCTTCTAGGCCTCGGTGAGTTACCAGATAGCCGAGGAATTCTCCCGAGGTGACCGCAAATCTGCACTTCGCCGGGTTTAGTTTCATGTTGTGCTTGTACAATTGCTCGAAGCATTCCCGTAGATGCGCGACATGGTCTTCCTCCTTGACTAACATGTCGTCGATGTATACCTCCATGATTTTTCCGAGCTGAGCCACGAACATTTTATTGACGAGCCGTTGATATGTTGCTCCTGCGTTCTTGAGCCCGAAC